GCCACAATGCGAATCAAACCATTTATTTTATTTCACTTTAAGGGTACTTTGTAACGGTGGAGTCACTATTGGGGTCTAATTAGTAATCAGACTTTGCAAGATATGTGACTTCTATCGATTGTGTGGCAAAAGGAAGGTAAGTCAGTCTATTATCAAACATATTTGAGTCTGTTTAGGGAAATGTGGTTATTTGAATCAGTACTCTAGTTCCCCCCTTGCTGTTTGTTTCCATCATTCATTTTATCTGCTACCATCTTCTGAGACTGATTCCATTTGGCTCACTCTCTGTGTTGGCAATATACATTTACAAGGACTAATTATATTCCACTCAGTGCTCTTTTGCTTTCCCTAATTTTTTCTACTGATCCAATTAAGGACTAGATTGCCACTGTGTCTTTGATAATAGTGTGAAATTATATATCTCTCTACTTAGCTATCTGTCAGTGGCATTTAAAACAACTTTTTTTTAGTGGGGGATTACCATTGTGTCAACTGATCCTAGTGTTAGACTAGATTACCAATTTAGCTGTATAGAGAAACAATTTTTGGAATGAGTGCGCTGTTCAGTAAGCATGAGCAGAACAAGTTTATCCTGCCTAGCTACTGACAGACTGACACTCACACAAATTTTCAGTGGTAGATAACATGCATCATTTATCCTGGTATGAGACAGATGGTTATGGTTAGCAAAGAGTCCTTGAGCTAGCCACTGCCACCTATAACAGTATTTAATTTATTTATTCTTTTTTGTTAAGTGGTTGTGGAAAAGAAAATTAATTTTCTTTTCTTTTTTGGAGTGTGTGCTGTGCAAGTGTGCATTCCCATTTGGAAATAGTCCAAATTGATAAAGCCTCTACGGCGAAACGCGTTATTGGTTTTAATATATTGTATTAATAAATTATTTCACATATATTACCTTTTTATATTACTTTTATCCTTATTTATTGTTCCTGGCATATCCTAAGGTGGGGATCATACCACCCATGCGAATAATAGAGTGCAGAAAGACCTGCACTCTACTTGTGAGTATATTTAATTTATTTTAAATCCTTTTTTCTAACTACCTCACCAGAGAGCACTATTGGCTGTTTTTATTTTTTTTCCTGAGAATTGGACACCAGCACTCTCCAGGAGGACAAGCACCCCCATAAGCGGAGGGTTATCCGCCGTATGCCCATCATACTAGAGCTGGTCCTAGCTCATGGAAATGTGAGTGTGTAATTTATATTTTAATTTCACGATTACTTATTTGTACACTCTGCACGATTGGCTCTTTCCCATTGTGTCTTTCATATCGTGAGACGGACGACTATTACCAAAGAAGACACCACATCAGTTGAGATACCATCCATTATTGGGACTCTTTTATAGAACATTTTATTACTATTTTATTTGTACCTAATTTACTTGTTTAATTTACCCCTTTTGGCGCAGCCTTTTCTTTGTTTTTGTGATTACACCAAACACCACCCCACAAATCCACGCCCATTAAACCAAGTGTTCGGGCCATAAGTAGGACGTTTTGAAGTAGGAACATGAAATGGAGCAGCCCATAGGCAAGCCAAATAAGCCCCGTCGAAACATGTAACCTAATAGATGGTGAGATTCCAGATGGATCGTCAGTAATCAAAAAGCCGACTCAACACCAGCCTTCGCCATGAATGCCCCGCGTCCTGCCTTCCGAACCAACTCAACCGCTTGGTCAAGTGATGCATAGGAGAAAGAACACAGGGCTGCATCGATGTCGTCATTCACCAAAGAACCTTTCGGATATGGCATATGATGGATTAGGTGGAACTTACCCAGTTCTTTCTTAAGCACCACACCCAAAGGTGAAGTCCGTAAGTCTGCCAACAAAGGTTGTGAGAACGGCCCGCCATCCTACTTTTTATATTTTAATACGGGTATTTTAGCCTGATTTTTTTTATAGAAAGGGGAGATTAAGAATCCTTTCAATCCATGCATCTGTGTTGTAAAATGTCCCCTAGTTTGCATCACTACTGTATTATAGTATTGATGTAACGATACACAATTTTATAATGTTGATATTTGTCATTATTTTTACAGTCTTTTAAAACTGATGGCTTCATAAAATGCAAATTAGGAAAACGTAACATAAGATGAAAAAAAAAAGAAAAAAAAGAAAACATGGACCAAGCAAACAGATAAGGTATACTTAATGCACAGTGTCTATGGAAACCAGTATGCTGGGTGTACTAATAAACTTCTCAAATGTCAGACTTGTCAGTACATTTTCTCTAATAAAGCCTATTTTGGTAGTCTCTAATAAAGCCTATTTTGGTAGAATTGCTTAGTATTCAAATAAAGCTAATTTAGTTTGAGATTTGAAAAAACAAAACATATCTAATCAGACAATCTTAACATCTCCATGAATTGATGGAGGATGATTTGTTTAATTGTGAGATGTGTATAATATTTGATGATTATTATGTGTGCAAACATATCTCTATAAGTGTGGGCATGAACATTGGAGCATTTCCTTTGCACATTTAGATAAACTAATGAGGGAACAGCTGTGAATGTATATCAGCCTATATTAACTTTGTAACTGCTTCACTTAAAGGACCAATATAGGCACCCAGACCACTTCAGCTCAATGAAGTGGTCTGGGTGTTAGGTCCATCTACGGTTAACCCTGAAGCTGTAAACATAGCAGTTTCGGAGAAACTGCTTTGTTTACATTAGGGTTAATCAAGCCTCTAGTGGCTGACTCATTGACAGCCGCTAGAGGTGCTTCCATGCTTCTCACTGTGATTTTCACAGTGAGAAGACGCCAACATCCATAGTAAAGCATTGATAAATGCTTTCCTATTGGCTGATTGAATGCACGCGAGGCATTCGGCGGATGACGGCGGAAGAGGGAGGAGAGTCCCCAGCGCCGAAGGAGCCCGGCGCTGGAGAAAGGTAAGAGTTTAACCCCTTCCTCCCCTTCAGCCCGGTGGAGGGGGCCATGAGGGTGGGGGAGGCCTATTAACTATACAGTGCCAGGAAAACAAGTTTGTTTTCCTGGCACTACGGTGGTCCTTTAAATCCACAAATTTTGGTTTTTTGAACACTTTTATAAGTTTTTGCTCACCTTGTCTTTTGTGTGAATAATGCATGGGTTTTACTAAGAGCAGAAAGCTAGTACACTGAACAGCTTCCCCAGTCTAGGTGTACAAGTGGGCTCATGGCTTATTGTCAATGACATCCATGGTTTTTGCATAAAAACACATTATCCAAGAATTTTACAACTCAGTGTAGAAGGATATTGCACCTGACATCTATATTAAAGGTTCGTAGAACGTTTGCATGATTTCTGCTCATGAAATAAGAGAAATGGACTTGAGAAAAAACTAAACCACATTTCTCATGGATTTTGGGAGTCACAGAGAATGTGTCTGCACTTAAATCTTATTTTTCACACATAAAACACTATAAAATTTTGCGGCAGAAACTATGATTTGTAACGTTATTTAAATCACTGCTTTACTGCAACTACAGCTTATTGAATTTGTTCTGGTGAGTAGAACCATTCCCTTTATGCTTTTTGCAGTAAATACTGTCTTTTCAGAGAAAGCAGTGTTTACATTACAGAGTACTAATTACTCCACTGGCCACGCCTTACATGGCTGCTAGAGACGCTTCCTTGGTCAGTGCTGCAGAGTAAGCATTGATTACTCAGATCTTGCAATACCCCACTGTTACTGCCCTATTCATTGGGAAAACAAATTTTTACTTACCATAAATTGTTTTTTCCCTTAGTGTTAGCATCATTACATATTTATCTCCCATAGATTTATTAAAGTTATAATGTTGCATCCTATTTTTGGTGTGTACTTGTTATTACTGTGGAGACCTTGTGGATTAAGTTATTTATAGGGGAAAGGACATATATTTGCATATTTTATGTTTTTATTACAGCAAGGGTTATCTGTCCACCAATAGGAAGAACACCACCACTGCTATTACAGCTAATACTAAGAAAAAAAAACAATTCATGGTAAGCAAAAAGGAAAAAAGTATTTTATCCACTGCTGCTTTTGAATGTTTGTCCACTGACAAAGAAATGATCAGTCTATAATTTTAATGGTAGGTGTATTTTAACAGTGAGAGACAGAATAACAAAAAAAAAAAATCCAGGAAAACGCATGTCAAAAAAGTTATAAATTGATTTGCACCTCAATGAGTGAAATACCGTATTTATCGGCGTATAACATGAACTTTTTCTCACTGAAAATAGGGGGCAAATTATGGGTGCGTGTTATACGCCGGCCCTTTAAATGCTGCAGCCGCCTGAGCGCTCTGTCAAGAGCGGTCAGGCGGCTGCAGTTGAAACGCCTTCAGAGATGGAAGTTGTGCCTGTGCTGTGCCCGTCGAGTGATAGGTTGTGCACTGCGTGCACCTTCCTGTCAGTCCCACCGGTACGAAACAGAAATCCCGTTCCGCACGCAACAGGAGTTTCTGCTTCCTGCACCGGGCCGGACTGACAGGAAGGTGCACACTGAGCGCACCTTCCTATCACCGCCCGGCACCGCTGACAGCAGAGCAGCCCGCCTACAGGGGAGGCAAAAGAGAGTGGGGGATAAAAAAGAGAGTGGGGGGTAAAAAGAGTGGGGGAGTAAGAAGAGGGGAGGGGGGCAAGAAGGGGTAAAATAGAGGGGAGGGGGAGTAAGAAGGGGTAAAGAAAAGGGGAGGGGTAAGAAGAGGGAGGGGGAGTAAGAAGGCAAGAAGAGGGGAGGGGGGGGTGCGAAGAGGGGGAGGGGAGTAAGAAGAGGAGGGGGGAAATAAGAAGGAGGGGGGCGAAGAGGGGAGAGGAGGGAGCAGGAAGGGGGAGGGGGGAGCAAGGGGAGGGGCAGGAGTAAGAAGGGGAGGTGAGTGGCGGGAGGAGAGGGGGCAAGAAGGGGGAGGGGGAGTAAGGAGGGGAGAGGGGGGGTAAGAAGAGGGGGAGGGGAGGTAAGAAAGGGGGTAAGAAGAGGGGAGTAAGAAAGGAGGTAAGAAGAGGGGGGTAAGAAGAGGGAGAGGGGGGAGGGGGGTAAGAAGAGGGGGAGGGGGGAGTAAGAGGGGTGCCATATGCGATACGCAGGGGATGTCAATTAAAAGTTAACGACACCCCCAGTTGAGATCGCATATCGCAGTGCGATCTGCAAGTTCGCACAGAATCGGATCGCACTAGTGTGAACCACTATGCGATCCGATTCTGCTGCGGATAAAAAAAAAAGGTCATGTGCGTGTTTAGTGCAGATGCGGTGCAAATTCAGCCATACAAACTGTTTTGGGAAATGCCTCACTACCTATGATTGGCTTCCTGGGGGGCTCAATCTGAATACGTCCGAGACCATCCTTAATTTTACCATACCATACAAACACATGCTAACAAAGCCATCCTACAACACACACTACACACAGCCATCCTACAACACACAGATATAACAAGAGTACCGGTAAATTTACACACCCCTGATACTACTCTTTTTTAATTTAAACTTAGGTAAAAAGTATACCACTGCAGTGTGACTCATCCTGACATTCCAACGCTGAACTCTGCACTATCATACGTGCATTCATTACGTACCGTACTTACGGTACCGGTATTTCCCTACTACGGTATCCCTAATGGAATCAAAGCAAAAGCGTCAGCATATACAGCTGGTTTCAAGTTAAAGGTTGTGGAATATGCCAAGCAACATGGAAATAGGGCTGCAGCAAGGCATTTTGGAGAGCCACCAACAGAATGCACAATACGAGAGTGGGGTAAAATGGAAGAAAAACTCAAGACATTATCAAAAACAAAAGGCAATTTTCGCAGCGGTATTGCTAAATGGCCAAAATTAGAAGAACGGGTGAAGGAATTTGTACTTAATCATAGAAAAGCGGGCATTGCATTATCAACAAAAATGATCATCATTCAAGCAGTGAAAATCAGCAAAGAGTTGCAAATACAAGATTTCAAAGGGACAGCATCATGGTGCCAAAGATTTATGAAGAGGCACGAGCTTCGGATGCGAACAAGAACCAGGATTGCCCAACGTATGCCAGAAGATTATGAAGAGAAGATAATAAATTTTCATTCATTTATTATCAAACAAAGGAAGAGACAAAATTTTGAAATTGGTCAAATCGGCAACATGGACGAAGTACCACTCACTTTTGATGTTCCTTCAAATAAAACTGTTGAAGCAAAAGGTGCCAAGACCGTAACAATTAAAACTTCAGGGCATGAAAAAAATCGTTATACTGTGGTCCTTGCTGTCACTGCAGACGGAAACAAGCTGCCACCATTGGTCATTTTTAAAAGGAAAACTTTTCCTAAGGAGAAGATTCCAAGTGGCATACAGGTGCATGTTCATCCCAAAGGTTGGATGGACGAAGAAGGCATGAAGCTTTGGATCAGAAATGTGTGGGAGAAGCGCCCAGGTGCTTTGTTAAAGAAGCCATCCTTGTTAGTACTGGACTCATTCAGATCTCATCTTACAGAACCAACAAAGAAAGAATTTCAAATGTGCAAAACAGAAGTAGCAGTCATTCCAGGAGGACTTACATCACAATTGCAGCCATTGGATGTTTCCATTAACAAGCCCTTCAAAGCCTTCATGCGTGAAGAATGGAATAAATACATGTGTGATGAAAGCCAACATGAAAGTACAAGTTCTGGGAGAATGAAAAGACCTGGCATTTCAAAAGTGTGTCAGTGGATAAAGACTTCGTGGGACGCAGTTAAAGAAGATATTATTATCAAATCTTTTAAGAAATGTGGCATAAGCAATGCTTTGGATGGTGAAGAAGACGAGCTGATTTATGAAGACAGTAGCAGTGAAAGCAGCAGTGTTCAGTTCAAAGATATTGAAGATAGCAGTGAAGATGAAGAGTTTCTTGGTTTCCCAGATAGCAGCGATTTCTGAGTAAACTTTTGTAAAAACATATAATATCCAAGTTTCTTTGTTAAAACAGTTGCTTTTACTGTCACTTTACGTTATTTACCTTATAAGTGTTAATAATATTAACAGAAAAAAGTTCTGAGCTACCCTTATTTTGCTTCAAAGTTCTTTATTTGAAATTTAAGTTTTTTTTCCCTGAAATTTCCTTCTTAAAATGAGGTGCGTGTTATACGCCGGTGCGTGTTATACGCCGATAAATACGGTACTTACTTTAGTGTCTGTCTCACTGTCAGTTTTGTTCTTTAGTTCTTACATTCAGATATTGTAGGTAGACGCAGACATTTTGGAGGATTAGTTAATGAGCGGTATCTAAGACTACTATTTAGATATACCGATATTCCTTCCCTATCCAGCACTTCTCTCATCGGTTGGTCAATTCAATTATATTTCTTTTGCTGACATTTATCGTTATACTATAGATCCTTTTTCATTTATCAATTTATCAAGTGGAAGTGCAGCAGGTGCTTAGTGGATTAGTATAGTCCACAAGCACATTATTGCTATTTGTATAGAATTGATACTTACCACAGATGCGAGCTGTGAGAGACCGTATAATCGATCACCAAGTTACTGGATCGGTGTTCTGCCTTTAAAATCTGGAATATTACCTACCATCTATTACTGACAGAATCAGTTTCACATATTGGGCTGCATTTATCAGCTATATTGATACTGATACTTTGCTTTTACTATACCTAGACGACCTATACTCATTATTACAGATCCGTCTAGTATCTATTTTTAGATCCACGGTTTTGGTGTTTACACTTTAGCACGTATTTGGGTTTCTTGTTACTTTTTATGTTTAATAAATCTTTATTATTTTCGTTCATTTTATTTTGGTCGGTTTACCTTGCTCAAATAGGTTGTCCGTTGGCTATCTAGACATCCCATTGATGCACATATTTCGCATCATGTATTAGATACACCATCTCCTGCCTTTTTATTTCTTACTTGGGGTTACCCCCCACCTTTTCAGTGTATCTAATTTGGCTCTACTTGTTCGCTTCTTTTTCTTAGTTTACCATACCTGGTTCATTTAGATTCATGAAGTGGACCCATCTCTTTGACCCAGAGATGAAGTTTTACTATAGTCAATGACCAAGTTTTTACTGAAGGTCCTGCAGGTTATTCTATCTGTCTGGCATTTACCTGTGGATTCTTATTAAATGAATAAGATTCCACAGTTAATTGCAGATGAATAGATTTGATTGAAATGTATATGATCATTCAAACCGGCTGAAATGCATTTTTGCTCAAGTCTAATAGATATAGTGAATCTTTCAGAAATGTTCACTAAAGTGAGAATTGTTTGGAATTCAAAGTAATTTCAAAGTGCATTGAAAATGAAATTTTAGACCATAAAGCCAAGCTGAAAACTGAAATGAATTCCCTTAGATTTCCCCCAAAAAACTCAATTTAGTAAATAACCCTCAATGTGACCCTTTCCATTTTTCCTAATTAATTGCAATACACTCTCTACTTGTGCCTGAAGTGTACTGGATAGTTATATTATTTGCTAAATCTTAACAATAAACGTAAAAGACAATGGAGCATGGAAATTATAGGGAATTTTCAATACATTACTCAATGCTGAAGTTTGTAGCTGTAGAAACAATGGTTCCCCTTTGGAAGACATTTACTCCACCAAATCCGGAAAAGCATTTTTTATGATTTGATAAAACAAAGGTCATCAAAAATTCTATTGATTGTCTTTGCCTAGTACTTGATTAGATTACAAAGACTTTTGATTGATTCTAACCTTAGAGCACTGGAAGTAAGATATTTTAAAGTCAACAATTTTAAAGTGAATCTTGGAAATGTCCTTCACAAGTATCTAATGTGACACAATAAGTCATCCCTACTCTACGTAAGATATTGGATAACTCACTTAAATCAGAATATATTACAAACATTGGGTCATTTATATACACATTTACCTTGTTTTCATGGGACAATCTGCTGATTGGTAACTTATGTCATTTCTTCCCAGAAATATGCTGTTTCCCTTAGACCTTTATCCTAGTTATTCAGGTAATTTGCACTTTTTTTGTTAAAGAGTTTGCTTGTTTGTAAAATAAAAAGTTGTAGTAAATAATCTATCAACTCGTAAAGTTTAAGCCCATATATTGCACAGCTGATAAAACACCCTCTTGTTGTCCATTGCATTTGGAAAATCAGCTCAAGGAACAGAACATTTCATAAAAAATATCAGTTTTAAATTTTATGAGATTAAAAAAATCTCTAGCAGTCACTTTACGTTATTAAAAAATAATCTTAAATATCTAAAATGTGTATTGGATGTGAAATGCAGCCCTCATTAAATTAAAATGTTGCCTTTGAGGATATTGGAAATGAAAAAAGTAGAAAAGAACCCATCTTGCAAAATGAATGAAAGGCACCATCCGTTATTCAGAGAACATAAATCAATGCAAAGATGAGACAAAGTTAGCCAAAATTCAAGGAAATTCATTGTTCTTGATAGATATTTGGAATTCTCTTTAGGTGAGTGAGTTACATGTACATGTGCATTGTGGGCTAGTGAGCCTTGCACTCACTATAACTGTACAGTAGAGAAAGAACTACTGACTGTACAGTTTACAGGGCCTTATAAATGAAAAGGCATCATGACTGTCAGATGGATAAGCTTCAATTGAAAAATAAAATCTTGTTTTTAAAATTCAATCTCTTGTGATGAATGAGCAGATTTTGGAGTCATAAATCAATTTATATCTAGTCTACATTGTCTACGATAGTCTACATTGATCTGCTGATAGTTAAACTTCTCAGTTGGAGGTTTTTGTGCTATTATATACTTAAAGGAGAGATTAGATCCTAATATATCTCCATTACACATCTTGCCTTTCTGTCTATACGAGTACCCATCACCCTACTTCTCACAGTGTAATGTCCAATT